ATTTATGCCGTAAGCCGTTGCTCTACACTCTATCGAAAGGCTTAAAAAAAGCTGTGCAAATATTCTAATTTTCTATCGCATCTTCTATTATATTTTTCACGCGATGTACTTGATCGATTATAGGAGGTTGAGCTTGAGAATCCTAGTTTTCTAAAAATAACAGTTTCGAGAAGCATGTGTAAGTGTCTGAGGTTTAGACAATCGTTGATTATGGGTGTGAGGTTTGAAAAACGTTTGTGTGATGTTTTATCGGCAGATATCCAGTCGAACCCGCTAACTTTTTTGGGTATTATCTGATTTTAATCGAATTTTCAACTTCTTTATTTGTTGTTGGCTGAAGTTCGTTTTTATATTGCGGAAACTATTGCATCTTTGGAAATCAAATTCGAATACATGTTTTGGTAGTTAATTCTATCCAATTGGGGTCATCTTAACTCAGTAGGGATTCTACTTTTTACACATTCCCTCCAGTTAGATAGCTTTTTTAAATTTATTTAAGGTATTAAGTTTTCTTTTGATTGCACCAAAAAAAATTAATAAAAACTTATATATATAATTCCCGCTTATTAACCGCAGTAGCGATTTTCGGCCGATCTCCTCCTCCAATTTGCGAAATGAGCCTACAAGTATTTTCAACAAATGGAGGATCCTACAGCGTATACTAAGCCGCCCCGAATGGCTGATGGGGTTTTTCTAAGAGGATCTTTTATTTCATGTCAGGATCTTCAATCGACAATGGCCAAGGGGCCAGAACGACTATTTAAATTTGCGAAAAGAACAGCAACGTTCTTCACACTAGAGATACAAAGGGAGTATAGCTATGCCACTTGGACACATTGTGTGTTTTTGGCAACACTATAGATGAATCAGCCAGTTCAACATAACCTTACCCAACCTAATATTACATATAAAAATAAAAAATAAAAATACAGTAGATTACATATTGTTGACATTTGCTTTATTTCAAATTCACCAGATGCAATTCCTGCTTCAGTTCTGTTTAAAAAAACTATATAAGTAGATAAAAATAAAAATAATATATGTACGTATGTATTTACAAAAACATTTTGAGCTACATAAAAATGTAATGCACATACAAATCTACCTATAGACATACATGTACATATGATTGTATGCTCAATGTGTACAATGCTTAGAATTCTTTCTCTAACGATTTAATTAGTTTAAATTGAAAAATTTTCCAATATTCAAAGAAGAATTAATTTTCTCAGCATATTGTCACATACAATACACACGAGCACAAATTCATGCATGTATTGTATGTGTTTGAAATCGTTACAATTCGCTAAAATATCAGGTGCGGTAAAAAGAAATCCATTATTTTTCCAATAGTTGGCGTTATTTATCTGTATCTCGCGTTGTATAAGTCCGATCAGGTTCCACTAGACGGCGTTAGAAAGATGACATTTCGTACTAAAAAAACTTTCCTGACAGTTTTTTTAATGATCCGTTCAGTTTTGTTTGAACGTACGTCAAAGCAAGCACTGTTTCGATTGCCCAAGAGTTAAAGATTGCACAAAAAAACGTTTGGAAACATTTGAATAACGCTGGATACGTAAAGAAAAAATTAAGTAATTTTATTTAAAAATAGTTGTTTTCTTTTTACTACGCCTAGTATTATGTAATAATAACTTAACATTTGTAAAAAATTTGTTCGGTTCCGCGTTTGTTTTTTTTTGTTGAGTTTTATGATAAGAATAAACCAAGCCACGCATATGGAAATATATGTAGATACCTAATTTACTTGATTAAACTCATCATCCAATTTATGAAGTGTATTTTGATTAGTTATACTTTTAAAATCTAATGCGTTTGCCGATGAGAACGAAGTCATTAAAAAATTGTTAACTTAAATTTATTACAATGTATATTATTTTAAAAATTTTAATAAAACCTAGAATATGATTATATATAGTTTGATGCAAAGAATATTATTTCAATTTAAGCAAATTGCCAATCATGACAAGCATGTGAGTAATATTTACAGTTTTTAGTAAAAAAAGTTATTTTAGTGTAATTCGCGTTGAAATTGCGCAAGATCAGCACTCGCACTCACATCGGGTTTAAATTAGTCACAATTTCAAAATATGCACATACCAAATGTAAAAAAAAACTATTTTCGCGTTGTTTTGTCATTGTAATTTTAAAGTGTGACAACAACAAAACAATAGCTGTTGGTCAATATTTAAATCTAAGAAAATTTAAATTTGAGATTTATACCAATTTTGAGATGAATATTTTTTTTTTGGAAAATTTGTGAATTGTGTGCCAAGTTTAGCTAAAATTGGTAATAATGTGGAAATCGCACAATTTAGACGTAATGAAAATACTCCTATTCTGTCGAGGTAACAAAATTTACCTTGGTATTAAAATTTACCATTGAGTAAATTTTGTTATTATTTCGTATTCTGAGCTCACTGTTACCCTGTAAATTTTGTTACCAGCGAAATAGGAGGTAACAAAAATATCTTCTGTTTGATTTTGTGTTGTAAGTTAGAGAAAAAATAAAAAATCAGAATGGGTTGGCATAGCTCAGGCCTGGAATTCATTGAAGATGAAGAAAAAAGTGCAAAAACCTGTATTTTAAGAAGTTTTCGAGACTAAAAAATATCTCTTTAATTTGTAAGATAGCGTTTTCATTCAGCTTTTTTTGTTGTCCAGGCATATTTTCTATAATAAGGTTTAAATATTTATGATGTAATAAACAAATTACTAAAACTTTTTAATTTTTTTGTGCACTGTTCTCCATTTCGATGTAAATATTTTTCTTTTTCCTTTATCAACTGGCAAATGTAATTTGACATGAACGAAAAAAGCAGTGCTACCAAATTTTTTCAAACATTTTAACCAGTTCGCCATAATACCAAATTCAATTTCGGGCGTTAAGAAAAAGCAACAAAATTTACTTTACCAGTAACAGTGAGAATAGGCCTGTTATAAGAAATATACGTTTGTGTGTTTATTAGACTTATCAATATTGGGTATTTATTTAACAACTTTGAATGAAATTGTTTTTAAAAACAGTGCTTATTCTTATACATATTAAAATTATGAAAAAAAACCAAGTCTGCATCGTAATCGCGGGCGTTCTATCGGTTGAAACATTTGGCAAATATTAACGTTAAAGCAGTTATCAAAATAAATGTAACGAAACGAAAAGTTGTTGTTAATGTTAAACGTTAAAATTGAATTGAATCATAGTAAACAGCCATTTTAAAATTTACGTTAAAGATGAGTTTGTGCGGTTTCAACGTTAACGATTTCATTCAGTTTTTTTAACAGGGTAATGAAACAAAACGTTGTTGAATTAATTTTTTTGTTAGTGAAACGGAATGATATCCTTGAGCATTTTCTGCAAAAAGAAAACATTTAATTAGAATTTGCTGCTTATTTTTCTAATTAGTTATGAACAGAGGGGGTTATAAGGAATATAAAAAACTTAATTTTAGGCCTGACTACGCAAATTAATTTCATTCGCATCAAACGAATTATATTTATTTTTTACAAAAATTTGTATACCACTAAACATAATTTTGGAAAACAGATATTTAGTATTTCGTAAAATTTACATTTTTGACTAGATTAACGATTAAATTTTTATGATTTGATTTGTGCATTTTTTTTTAGTTTCGCTATATAGATTCTGACAAAGCTTTTGTTAAATAATTATAAAAGAATATTCTTAACAGTTTCTTAAGCATAAATTTTAAAATTACTTACAATTTTCATTGTTTTAAAAATTTTCAACAGTCTGCATTTCGTCTACATAAAAAATATGTTATTTCACTTATATAAAAGCTTTTTCATTTACATACATTTACAATAAAATATTTAAAATTTTTATAAATGGTATTTAGGTCAAAATTTGCGTAAACATTAGTTTTAAGATTCTCAAAATATTCGCTTCAATATTCAAGTTATTCATTATCCAAACCGTACCTCACATAATATAACATTAATAATTAAACACTAATTATTTATTGTACACACATCTCAAATAAAGTGCCTAACCCTTAGTTATTTATCTGTTCTGACCAATGTGGCCAACCCTTGAAACTGTTGTATAGCTGATCCGCTTTAGCATCGGTTGATGTTGGATCCAACATATATGCTCCATATATTTTATAATCATTTTTGAGTTTGCCCAAACGTACGCCCTCGTCGAGCAGCAATTTGGTGACATCCATTTGTTTATCTGATGGTTTTTGCTTATTGAAAGTGCCAATATAGGCAAAACTAATACTGTCCGAATTGTAGCCACGCAAATGTGCTCCAACCACATCCCATCCGCGTCCCTCATACACATTGCCATCACCACCAATGAGGAAATTATAAATGATATCGTCATGATTTTGAGATTCAATATTTAGTGTTTGTGTCATGCGTACCCGATAGACACACATCGCCTGGAAGAAAAGAGGAGAATAGTTATATAAACATACATACATATAAATAAGATGTTCTGCGCAGCTTATACTACAATAAAAAGGAATTATTATTTCGAAATCTCAAAAATAAATTTCGTAAAGCAACATAATATGCAAATTGATTTTAGTACTTTAAATCGCCAAAATTGTGCAGCTCTTCCGAACCTCGTATAAATCTTCCAGTGTAGACATAGCTCAGCCTACTTACTTGCGTTTCACAGTCGTCAGTGCGTGTTGACAGTACAATCACCTTCCCAACGGGCGTTGCCAGAGCTACAGGTTCAGCCGAAGGCGGTTGCGCTAACCAAGCGTCTCGCGGAACTATTCGTAAAATTTTACCACTGCCTACATTATCGTCAGCTGAAAAATAGAATTAGAATAAATAAGAATTTATCCTTTTGAAATGCCATTAGCATGAATAAAAAGCTCTTTAAGCATTTTCCTACCAAATGTGTTTTCTATTGAATTTTTATGATACTTGCATATGTATATATGTATGTATGTATGTATGTACGAGTATATTGCAAGTCTCAAAAAAATAAAAATAAAAAAACAAAATACAAAAAAATAAATCGGTAATAAATATGTATATGAAAAAGGCTAAAGTAGTGCCAAACGAAGATGTTCAAAAATTTAAGAAAAATTGGCCATTTAATATTTAAGTTCCCACTGACTCTTATCATGGCAATGTGCGTTTAATTATTTCTTCAGAAAATGTGCCAGATGCACGTTAAACTGAGAAATATAATAGTTTTTTTTTACTATTTGCTATTGTACTTTGTGACTCATATTCTTCCAAATGAGGCTATCGTCATGATTATTTTATAATTTTAATTAGAGTGTGACCTGCCCTTTTATAGTGTACTATTCACGATAAATATCGAGTCCTTTATTTGTTTTCATCATTTACATATTCCATTATTAAAATTACTTGTACGTATAATTTTATGAAATATTTTCACATTTTAATCACTGTGTCCATATTATGAAAACCACAAACAAGTTTATCGTGATTTTTTCTTTTAATGTTGCGGGTATGTTTTTTTTATAAATTTATTTTAAAAGTATAAATACAAGTATACGAATATCACTGCTTATTGCACAAAACTACTTACGAATAAAGGTAGCTAAATAAATTAGAATTTACATTTTTCGACACTTATGTATGTATGTATGTATTATGTCTACATATTATATATTTTTAAGATTTAAATTTAATTAATTGCTTTTCAAATGCGGCTGGCCCAGTGTGGCCATTTCATAATTATATTATATAGTGCTTTCCCCGGACTTTCAGTGGGACTCAACTGTCGCGCTCCATAGAGTCGATAATCTTTTGAGAGTGCACCCAAACGAAGACCCTCATCGATGAGTAGCTGAGCTGCTTTCAAGTCATTCTCAGTGGGCAGTTCTGCATTGAATGTGCCAATAAATGCGATACAAATACTACCTCGATTGTAGCCTTTGGTGTGTGCACCGACATTATTCCATCCCCGGCCTTCGTATACCAAACCATTGCCGCCCACTAGAAAATTATAGCCAATATCACCCCACCCGTTCGAGTGTATGTGAAAGGCTTGCACACTCTGCGCTCGTGCATCACATTGTAGCTGTAGAAGGTCGCGAGGAAGATGAAATGAATTAGTTTTTTCGTATGTTATCCTTGAAATTTTGATAAATTATTTTAATGAATTACCTTATTCTCACACGATGTTGAGGCGGTGTGGGCTATGATAACGCGCTGTGCTGGCCATTTTAGTTCCTCAACACCTTCGTGCTGCGCCTCGGCATACCATTCATCCTTAGTAATTATGAGTAAAGAACCGTTAAATATGTACTCACTATCTGGTAATGGTAATTCTGAAATTGGGAAGAAATGCTTTGTTTAAAATGAGCAGGATTCTTTTCTATTAAAATGGCTTAAATACAATAATTCCATTCAACTTAACTTTTGGGCTTTTAGTTTGGTGCTCCAATAAAATTTTATTTTATTTTTGTACATCACTTTCACAATAATTGAACTAATGAGTATGAGAATCAAGTGAAAATAAATAAAATATACAATTTGGTAACATACATACTTATCATGTATACAATTAGGCAAAATATGTTTACATATTTGGTGCAAATGATTTTGTGAATAAATTGAAAAATGATTTAATAGAAACAGCTTTAATTGTGTAGTATTATATAAATATGTGTGCTGAGGTCTTAAAAATAACAAAAAAATAAATAAACATTTTATGAAATTTTTAAATGTCAATCACAATTTATCACCATTTCCAATTTTTTTATTATGAATGATGACTACAATATTTCCAGTAGGGACAAAGACACTCCTCCTCTTCTCAAATACACCATTTGTACACCATTTCATTCGTTGGGTAACAATTGTTATGATTTCGAATCTACTGAACTACACAGTATAGCTATTTGTATTTTTATTAAGGTCTAAATTTAAATAAATGCCTTAAATTCTTAATAGAGTTTCATTGAAGCAACCCCTTCTGATTTCACTTTATAAATTTCAAACTAATATTTTATTGCTCTTGCTCATAATGTAATAAGAAAATATCTGATCGAAAGCAACGTGCTAAAAAATTGCAGTGGTACTCAAAAATCTGCACAGCGTAAAAATAAACCCTACATCATGCTAAAATCAAATGCTAATCCCCTCCAAAAAAATTAATCTTCACTACGAATATGAAATAATTGCACCCCAAAAATTTAAATTTTAGTTTTGGCAATGTCCATTTAAATAAGCAGCAGAATTAGTTTTATGCCAAATTCAAAAGCAGAAGTCGCTAAGCAGGCTTGTACAAAGTAAGCAAATAAAAATTAAATTTTATTCTGATTCGGAATAATTTGAAAATTTTATTCTTCAAATATTGATTTTTTGGGAAATTGAATTGCTCATTGAAAATAATATCAGGTGTACAACTTTGCTTCCGCCGTTTCCCGATAGGTAGCTGTACCGGCTGAGGCTGGTTGAAATACATAGATGATAATGCCTTTAAAGTGAGTGTGGACAGTGCCTAACGAATTGTCGCCATCGCCATTTCAGTGACCGTTGTTCTTGATTTCGTATTATTCACGCTCGACAATTTCCGTTTATGTGCCTAATTCTCGCCATTTGCGGGAAGTTTTACTTTTCTGTTACAAGTCGAAAAAAACATGCAGCTGAAGCGCATCGAATTTTCTCAGAAACGGTGATGCTGCTCTGAGTGAAAGAACGTGTCGGGAGTGGTTTCAACGTTTTAAAAATGGTGATTTCGATGTCGAAGACAAACATGGTGGTGGAAGAGAAAAAGTCTTTAAAGATGAACAACTAGAAGCATTGCTTGATGAAGATTCATGCCAAACCCAAGAACAGCTTGCCGAATCGTTGGGAGTGAGTCAGCAAGCCATTTCAAAACGTCTCAAGGCCCTGGGCATGTTTCAGAAAGAAGGAAACTGAGTGCCGTACGCGTTGAAACCTAGGGACATCGAGCAAAAGTGGTCAAAAAGTACCTGAAAACGCTGAAATGGGAAGTCTTGCCCCACCCGCCGTATTCCCCAGATGTCGCCCCTTCTGCGGCCTGGCAGATCATCATTTTCAATCCTTCGAAGAATTGAAAAAATGGATTGCTTCATGGATAGCTTCAAAAGAGGACACCTTTTTTCGAGCCGGGATCCGAAAATTGCTGGAAAGATGGGAGAAAGTTGTCGCTAGCGAAGGACAATACTTAGAATAATATATCTGTAAGCACTTTTTCGCAATAAAGCTTTTAATTTTGGAAAAAAACGGCGGAAGCAAAGTTGTACACCGGATACTTTGTCTGTTGTATCGGCCTAAAAATTATCTATTTCAACTAAAAATATAAGAATCGAAAAGCATAAATCATGTGTAGAAATCCAGAGCATGCGCAGGTTCTGGTTCAATGAATGTGTTAAGTAGAGAACATATTCTTAGATAGTGATATATGTACAATACATTAAGACCAGAAAGTTTCCGGAAATTGTTTTTTTTTATATCCGCAGTGTGATTCAACATGATTCCTTTCGAACGGGACATTGACTATCTGTCTATTATTTGAGCATTTTGATGCGTTTGCTTAAAAAACTCGTCCTAAACGGCTGGAATAAACTTTCATGACGATGATGCGCCATCACGCCGAACTGAAGTTGAAAATTTGCAAATGGGACCTAACGTCGACTGATTTCAAAAGCTGCTGCCAAAAAACTGGTTGTCAGCGCGGAAGCTTTCTGGTCTTAATGTATGTATAAAAAAAACCGGAATAACCATTCGCATATAGACACATTGGTTTCTTCAGCTGGACCCCCACAATTGTAATTGTGCTACTTAGTTTCATCCAAACTCTTTCCGCAACAAGTTAAGAAATTTCGCCCTGACCTTTGCCATTTTTAAAAGCTTTCTGGATTCAAGTTACTTTAAATTAGATATTTTTCCCTTTTACATATTTAAAAGAAGTAAAAACGATTGTGATTAAATGTGCAGACTTCAAAAAATTAAATGCATTTTCTTTGACTTGAACAATATTTATATAATATAATACATAACGCGAATTATATAAAAAAGTGGTAGAAATTTTATATTTCTTTTAGACTTTTCTACAAATTAAAATCTTTTCCGGAATAAGACTGCCAAAGATACGTCGTGGCCTTTCCGATTATATTATCTTATGATACCACCACCACCGCCACCCTGTAAAAAGCGTCACTTTACGATCTCAAAAATTGAAAAAAAACACCGAACTATTATCTGAATACATTGAAAACTTAATATCGCTTGCTCGTAGTTTGTTTACACTAATTGTGCACATGTCTATATTCTCTCAACCCAAGAATTTTTACTATACTTTCTGACGAATTTTTGTTCAAACAGCTGTCACTTCTACCATTATTTTTTGTTGTATAACAAAAAATATTCAATTCATACAAACCACAAGAACTTTTGTTTACTTAATACTTATATCAAAAATTATTATATAGCATGGCCGCTAAATAAAAAATTATTTGTACCTCCGTTTCGTCTATTTTTACCCGTGGGGTTTCTTTTAAATTTTTTTTTTATTTTTTAGTTTTTGACATTTATGCCTTGGTCACTTTTTCTTACACAGGTTTTTATTTCAAATTTCAATTTTGTATCCGCAATTTTGAATTTTGTCTTCGTAAGAAATGAGACTAGTTTGTACTCAAGTTCAGATGATAGTTTTTAAATGGCTAAATTTAGCTGAATTGATTTCAGCTGAAATAGAGAACAACGCCGGTTGCGTCCTATCTCTAGTTCTGTTGTGAGGCGGTAAAAAAATAACTGACTTATTTAATAAGTATATATGTATAATGCCGAAGTGTTTCTACTTTTCAAATATTTTGTGCAGCTTGAGGGTAAATTCTATAATAATATTATAAATTGTGACACGAATATTTTTAAGCGCATGTTGTATGCATGTATATATGTATATGTATTTTTTTTTTTTTTGAACGAAATCACAATGAGCACCAAAATTGTTTGTTTAAAAATACCTATTGTTGAATTGATTGGAATATGCTTTCTGGAATCGTCGCCATCGCTTAGAGGCTTACTTTTTTTTGTTTGTTTTGTGAGCGTATTTACAGTAACAATCACTATTCCAATTAATATTGTTAATAATATTATTGCACCGGTAATGATGAGCGCTCGCCGTTTGAATATGAAAAATTTTGGTCCTTGCGGCTGGGTGGGGGAACTATCTACTTTTTCTGCACTATCTGGAAATAAAAACAAATATATATATACATATATTTAATAAAAGTGTGTAAATAATTTTATAAAAATAATTTGCTATACGTGAAGTCATAATTATAATGAGCATTTTAATTAATTAAAAGATATTTATAACGATAAAAACTTCACCTGAAAGTAAAGTTTAAAAGAGCGGAAAAGCAAAACTTAAGATTAGAGTATTTCCCTAACGGTTTATGAAAGAAAGTGTAACTGTTGGGTTCTTAAAAATTGTTATGCAGATAAATTTGATATTTTCACCCACTCAACTCCCCTACTCCCCTGGTAGACATTAGTAGTTTCTCCTCCAAAGCATTTAAACGGTTTTCCATATCACAAAGGCGTGCTTCATTCCATTCACAGTTTTGCGCTGCATTCGGGTATTTGATCAAATCTAACATCAACTTATTATTGCACTTTTTACCGCACATATTTGAACAGTTATCACAATTCCAAGAAATATTTTTACAGGCTTGTAAAATTTTCCATTGTTGATTATTTAAGTTCGTGCAGTAAACATGGAAGTATGCCAGGCATGGGCCATTGCATTTTATAATATTGAGATTAGAATTAAAGTCAAATGACTCGTTGCAGTGATGACAGAGAGACATTTATCGACTTTTGATTTAACTTCTATCGAATATTTTGTGTGATTTGTTTAGAAACAGACTTTGAAGGATCGATCTAACTTTGACGATGCTTTGATATTTACTGAATGCTAGCAACTTATGAGTGTTCTGTGGACTATACGAAGTCATGGAATTAAAAGCAGAACGAAAACAAATATTTATTTAAAAATCTCAAACGGTGGACAGATAGTCTTGAAAAATCCCCCTTTAACCGGTAGTTGGTATTATCGTGGTGGAAAATATAAAAGATAGAAAACATTTAAAATTAAGCATTTATACTTATTAAATACTCGCATGCACATGGCAAATTGTTAGGGTATGAAAAATTCCACGAAGTCCACCCGGTGTTAAGTTATAAGACTTGAAAAATATGAAAGTCGTTTGGGAAAAAAAAATTATTTTGCATATGAATTTAGTTAAACGTTGACACGTATTTTATTTTCGAACTCAAAACTATTAATTAATTTCTTAAATTGTTGAGCTTATAAATATTAACCAAAATACTATGCCAAAAATGCTGAAAAAATTAAATGCGTTCGTTGATTGAGTGATTATGTGACTCATTTGTTTACTGTTGGCTACTGAATATGAGTAAATAAATACATGCGTACAAAAAACGTTCTATTATTATGTATGTATGTACACATGTATTTTTAGCATACACTTTGCGAGTTTATACGTGAATAGAATAACATCCCTGCTAAGCAATAAATTGGCTTAGCAAAATAAGTGATTATGCTGAATTGTTTTCTTTTTTTGGTAAGAAAATCACACAGAGATATAACGAAAAAATGCACTTGTATAAAAACATGTGTACAAATTATTATAAATATATTACTTTACTTAACACAATAGTACAACTGCTTGGACCCATGATCATAGCAATTAAAGGGAACGATCTGTTTTGTTATTGTACTAGCCGCCTGCAAATTTTCCTCTCTGTAATTTTTAAGGGACTTTACCAAGAGAGTCTACGTACACGTATATTTATTTATACATATACACCCATATATTTATTTTATTTTGATTGCGTTAGTCAATCTTTTAATATAAAGTAGTATACTTTATAGTCGGCTCCATACCCTTACGAGGGTATTTAGAAAAGTTCGGTCAGTTGGTGACTTTCAATTTGTTTTAGTTAAATCTAAAAATACCAAATCCTTTGCAGTTATTTTTTTAGTCTTCCTTTCAAATTTTAGAACGATCGGCTAAAATGGCTGTGAGAAAACGCAAGATTGCTTGGGATAGGTCAGATGAAATTCCACCGCCAACGCAATCAAAAATTCGCCGTGTGATTCTCTTCGAGTGTCGGCGTAATTTACAGTCAATACAAATATACAGTGAATGTTTAATTGTACATGGAGCAATTGTACCGTCTTGAAAGACTATTTCTAAGTGACGAAGACCCACGATTGACATAAGAAACCATTGCTAATGAATTTGGCTTTAATGTCATGGCTGTATTGCGGATATTATATAATCCTCTGGGATAAAAGCAGAAATCGGCTCGATGGGTACAATGAATTTTAATTGAGGCCCAAAAAGAGGCTCGATTGCACTTTGGTAAAGTCGTTACTGGTGACGAATCTTGGTACTATAAGTACGATCCAGAAACCAAACAGTTGTCCACTAATGGAGCCCAACAGGAGCAAGCCCACCCGTAAAATCTAAGCAACAAAAATCAGCAGCAAAAACAATGATTTCAGTTTACTTCACTCGATTCTCTGGAAAAGAGTCAGACGGTAACTGTAAAATGGTACACCGAAGAGTGCTTACCAAAAGTTTTCAAAAATTTGTTGGAAAACAGGAAGAAACAGAATTTGCGGCACTGTTTTTTACATCAGGACATCGCGTCATCCCGAACTGCTGAAATAACGGGTAATTTTGTTGCGATATTTGAGATCGAAGAAATACGTCCAGCACCATAATGGGTATAGCACCTTGTGATTTCTGATTATTTCCAAATATTTAAAATAAAATTAAAGGAAAAGGTTCTTCATAGCAACGAGGAGATAATTAATGTGATTAATTCTGAACTTGATAAGCTTAAAAAGCAAGATTTTGAAGACTGTTTTCGGCAGTGGACCTATAGGATTAAGAAATGCATTGAAATCAACGCCGAAGGTAGAAAAGGACAAAGATTACGATTAAATACAAAAACAATTTTTAAATTTTTTTTCTGGTTAATTTACCGAACTTTTGTTAATGCCCTCGTACATGTCTTGCATACTTGTATATACATGTAAAAAGTTTATTTTGTTTGTGAGAGACGGTGAGAAGTCTTTAGTAAAGGCCAAATCAACAAAAGCACGCCAAGCTCGTTAAAATGTAAAAGCTTTTGGTTCGATTATAGTGATGTAGTCCACAAGATCGTACCCTGAGTTTCTAACGCCGTTTACTGTAAGAATTACCAAAAAAAAGTATTCGGATTTCCACAAAAACAATTCATAAATTTTGCAACACATTGAAGTATTTGCTCACTCTTCACAGTTAGTAGCAATGTTTCGCCCAATATCACCATTATTAAAATGTCTCAGCCACATAATTCAAAAGATTTTATCCTCTGAAATTATTGAGAAGATTCGAGCCGCTGAAATAGGCCGAAGACACGAGCTGTATTAAATTGTACAAAACAGATGAGCTTCGGTGTGGAGAAAGCAATGTCGCAGTGTACGATGTCTGTGAGGAACTAAGTAGAAATTTTTTTTAATAGACTTAATATGTCTCTTATATAATTGAAATGAGCAGTTTAATATCCCTGTATAATGCATAAAAATTATCCATTATTTTTGTATTAAATTTAAGGCTTTATTTACCATAGTTAGAGTTATCCGATTTATGTGAAATTTTTAAGTTAATGACTTTATGTCTCTCGCATAGATACCCATGTCCCTATTAAATAGAAAATTGGGATAATAGATTTTTACAAGTTTCTCTTGAGGCCCATTCATTCAACATAGACAGGAATAGATGGGAATACCTTGGTAGGAGGTCCGGACTATAAGCCAGATACATAAGAGTCTCCCAAACAAGTTCTCGGAGCTTCTGGGCAAGTCACTGCCCTTCGACTATGGCTGTTTTAGTTTGATGTTGCTGTAAGGGATCAACTATTCTTCGGTAGTCATCGCCCGCTTCAGAAATGTGTCGATTTTACTGCGACTCAACAGTGATTCGTAGATGGAGTTTCCGCTACCACATCTTTTACATAAAATTTACTGGAACCAAATCGTCGAATACAAAATTGTGCATAATTGACATTATCAGGACCATAAATATGATTCACATTTTCAGCTGCCGAACTTGCGCTTTCGCCTTTAATGGATTACTTATTACATAGAAAGTATGTAGTTTGAATATAATACATTTTACTTGATTTATTTTCAATAATTTCTATTACACTTCATATTCGCATTCAATATCAAAATGTTTTCAATTGAAAAAATAATGTTATTTAAAAAATTCTGGCGATTCTAATTCTGAGTTGAAACAATTACAAAGCGTCAATTGAAAGTACGCCTTTGGGAAGAAGATAAAATATTGTAATATACCAATTAACATTGTTTAAATCAAGGCTACATAGTAACGATACATTTCAATCGATTCGGTTGAAACATTTGGAAATGTTGTCAATAAAGCAGTTATGGGATGGAGAGAATGGTGAAATGTATTCAGTTTGAGCACTAGGCTCGTTGCAAAAAATTGTGGTCTTTACCTAATGTCATAGGAGGCACCTGAAGCTGCACTCTTTAGCCGTATCATATATATGCAAAACATTTCATAAATACATACATATATACCAGAAAGCAAAAACTCAAATAACAGGAAGCAATTAGGCAGCACCCACTGCTATGTAAAGATGTACGCTCTTGGAGTACACATTCTCCCCCTTCCTAGACAGCTTAGTCGTCTAGAAACCCATAAGCGCCGCTATCCGGCCAATATTTACGTGTGGGAGTCTTGAGATCTGCGAGACATCTGTCAGGACCGGCATCGACAAGCGGTAACTACTTTTCATTTACATGGCGCTCTTATAAGATAGGTTGCTATTGATGGGAGGTATTTAACATGGGTAGTTGCAGCATTCAACTCTAAAGTTATAGTTGCTTGTGTGTGTAAATGGTGAAAACTCCTCATACGTTAGAGTGATACATTTAAGTTTTAACCGAAACGAAAAGCTGTTGTTAATGTTAAATCGTTAACAAATCATTTTAAACTTTAAAATTGAAGTGTGTGTTTTTTTTTTAAATTAACGTTACCGCTGAGTTTGTGCGGTCTCGACATTAACCATTTTATTTCGTTGCGATAAATGCCGAAACGAAACATAATCATTTCGTTAAGTTTCTTTTTTATATTAACAAAACATAATGGCTTTTTTTTGTTAATTGATCATCGCTGGTTTAAATATTTTTCAAAAACCTTGAGCTCCAACAATAATCAATGCATTAAATGCTACACGATTCAACAACAAACAATTTTGTTTAGAAAAGTCGCCTACGCGGAAAGCTATAAAATTAATTAGACATTTTTTTCATATTCTACACAAAATATGTGTGTACATATGTATGTAGAAATGTAAATATATACCAAGGTAAGTCCAAACGATTGAGTGCTTGAAAGATTTACATACGTATATATACAATATGATTACGATGAGTTCTTATTGAGATTTAACATCTTTTCATTTCATCAACACATAATTTCACCAAAAATTTATGGCCTCAACAAATTAACGCGTATGTACAATATACGTGTATACGAACATACGATATACTGTAAACAAAAACACAAGTATATCCGTATAAACAAATAAAGGTAATGTGTACATTTGTAAGTGCCATTGTAAATACGTGCATGCCTTTGTATGTGTATTTTCGCAAATACGAATTTTCAAGAATTTTGCAAACTCTAAGGTATGTTTATTGCACTTACAAAGGCAGAAGCTTTGTCCTATTGAAATCGAGACTGCTATTCAATCGTTAAAATAGTAAAAAGCCCAACGGAATAATATTTTCTGTGAGTCTTTTAAATTAAATGTACTGAAATAACAATTGAAATATTGACATAATTACGAAAGGGGTTTTAGTTGATTTTAAAAATCATGGTCTACACTGTCATTTTAATCGGATGTGGACACTGAAATTTACTTCACTTAGAATACAAGCACTGCGAATCACCCATCGGTCTAAAATATTTACCAAAATAAATCATCACTTAGCATATCTGTACGGTTAGAAAGTGAGGGTAGATTTTTAAGTTTTAGGAGACTAGTAAACGGTGGAGTATTTTGTTGACTTGGGCATTCCAATGGAAATGGCGCAAAACAAACAACAAAAGCTGTTTTTGAACGGTCTGAGTTTGATCAGAACCGTACTCCAATATTGGTCGCACTAAAGACGTAAAAAGTTTTTTGTAATATCAGGGTCTTTAATTGCTTTAGACCATCGATTTATAAAAGCAAACTTTCAGCACAGTAAAATTAATAAAATTAAAATGAAGATTCAAATTAAGTTTAGTGTTCATGGTTATACGCAAGTCAAAAAAATTACATACTTGTTCTAGAAAATATTTGCCTATTGTCTAAGATGGCGGTTGAAGATATTTGCGTGATATAAATGACATGAGTTCACATATTTTAAGATTAAGTGGAATATAATAAAATTTTTGAATATTTTATAACTGAAGGTAAATCATTAATAGATAAAACGAACAGAATTAGACCCAGGTGGCTACCTTGCGGAACGCCTAAGATCACATAAATTATGTACGAAATGGTATTATTAAATAATATTCTTTGCATTCTGTTACAGAGATAATAAGATATCCATTGGACAAGATTAGGCTGAAATCTTAAAATATCTAGTTATTTAATAGGTACAAGATGATTTACTCTATCGAACGATTTACTTAGGTCGGCAAATGTAACATCGGTGTTCCTTAAATCCATTTGAAACATGAGTAAAGAATTCAAGCAAACTATTTAGTAATGGTAGATTTCCCTTTGCAAAACCCATGGAAAAAGTTTATTGAATAGTAATTATTGCCTCGATCCCCCTCTAATTTTCAATCCAAGATCAGTACCATTCTTATGAAAATGAATTATAAACGATCTTTTCCATAACAAGGGAAAATACCTTGGTTTAGGGATGCATTAAAGAGGTTCGTTGCGCGACATTTAAGGAATCATTTCAGGTCTATAACGGAAGGAACTCTTTAAAACTTTTACATAACATAAGATATCTTCAGCAGAAACAACTCGGGTTTCAATTGCAGTTTGCGGATAAAAATGCTTCATGTAGACAAAATTGCTTTAGGTGAATTAGGTCAGTAATTAGATTTGAAAAATTGCAAGTATATTCCAGATAATATGAATGTCACATGATGTAGTAGTTTCGTATGTCATGGCTAACGGAAACAAGGAGACTCTGCGCTTGGAGTTAACGAAACCATAAAACATCTTAGGACTGAGTACAATGTACATTTTAATCATAATTAAGTAAACATTGTAAGATTTTTTTTTAAGTTCAAGTTGCTTGCGACGCAACTTAGAGTTTTTCATGTCGTCTAAACGTAAGCTTCGTTTCTTATATATTTAATTCAAAATCACGAGGTTTTCGGTTTTTTTTAAGTTTTATGTCCTTCGTGAACCAAAAATTGGTACATTTGGTTGACGCACTAGTACCTTTGGATACAAAATTTACAAATAAGTTTCAAATTGTTTTGTCAAAATGAAGAATACAGGATTACCACTACATTCTGGATGAATAAATTTGGATAGCTTTTGATTTAACCTATTTTAAATTAGGTTACACAAAGCTGAAACGGGAACAAGGAACAGGTAGAGAAGGCATAATATTAACCGTATGTGATTTCAAAAGTTATCTCCAAAGCAAAATGATAAATATCCTCCGGAATAGCAAGGGAATCGTACCTAGTCACTGAAAATTTTGAAGCATCGTCAACATATACTAAATTCTAGATTACATTAAGATTTAATTGATTGGAACCTACAAAAGAAATGCATACTTTCTCTAAAGGTATGGTAGAAAGAATGAGCTCCCACATCTATAAACGTGAGGTTAATCAGTTAATTTTGTATTCAGATGTCCAACGTTTTCATAAAGTATACTGAGCGATCGGTTATTTATTAGTTTTTTGGTTCCACATTTGGTCGAGGTATTCGAACAGTAATCTTATCATTTTCCCTAATAATTTTGTGCTCCCCGGCGGTCAAAATGAGCTATGTAGAAGATCCTCAAATTCTTCAACAGTGGCATCAGTTTTTAAGTCAATTAGTCATTACCATTTAATTTTAACAAGATGTAATGCCTTAACTAACCCACAACTGTATCATTTGCAAATCTAGACACAATTATAGACTCTCTGGGTGGAAGAACGGCCACCTTCCTGAAACTAGTCTCAAGAATGTGCAAACTATGATTTTCAACGGTTTGTAATTGATAAATCAAATAAACTTCATAGAAGTGGACGTTTTTTCATTTATAGGTGGTGCCCGTTCTCGAATGAGAAGAGGTACAAGCAAATAAAAAAAAAATATTAAATATAGAATTTTTCCAAACAAAACGCTGAGTTTTGATTATGAGCTTGGACATCGCCCATGTAAGTTCACAAGAATTTTCTGCTATCTCTTCATATTAAACTGGGTCTTATAAAGATCTTCTACCTGCCTTTTAGTATTTCCCAAATTACCATACGCAAAAATCAAAGAATGAATATATCACAGGCCTGATACTAAAAAATCTATGGTCAGCTTTTCGAAAGGATTTTCATCCCTTTCTTAATAAAAAACCTTTATAAAAAACCATCAACGGTTCAGAGGCGGCTTAGTATAAACTGTAGGTCCCTCCATTTGTTGGAAAATATCAAGATTTTAAATTATATTAATTGTAGGGTTGGAGAGGAAGTTTGAAACTGATACAAAATGAATTGAAACATTTCTCTCACTCTCTCATTTCGAAAGCTACTCATTATTTTTCACGTTGAAGGTCTGAGCTGCATTGAAAATGATGACAAAATTTTATAATATTGAGTCACGAGAAGATCTTACCGCACTGAATTCAAGGACAACTCGAAGTTTTGTCCCTTCTTAATATAAAACAATTAGCCAGATAGGCTTTTAAAGCAACTAACCAACTTACACATATGTACACATAAGGACGCTAACATTTAATCACATAAATAAATGAATAATTCAGAATAACTTACCGAACCCTTTGCCATCTTCACTAAATGCGGGATTATCATTTCCACCATTTTCACCGTTCTTCCACTTCTCTCGACTATCAATGAGAAACTGTTGTATCGTCACAGGACCCTCGTAGAAATGCTTATCACCAAAAGTAACATCTGTGGAATTTGAAAGGGCAATACTACCAATTTGCGCGGCATTCGGCGTCAAAGGTGGAGCGAGTATGGGCGGTGAAAGCGCGCCACCACCATTGAGTATCGTCTCTGAGAGAGGGCCTGCGGTGGGTGGAACTACACCCGGACTTATTGTTTGACTTAACACTTGCAAGCCCTTATTAATATGTGGCAGATTGGGATGATTTGGCTCATAGGTTGTCTGTTGACCGAGCTTCTTCACAACATAACCACTGTGTTGACCTTCCGAATCCGAATCGGAGTCGACGACACTAGAGTCAATGGCATTCTCATCAATCGATATAATCGATATTGTATTGCTACGTATCGACACAGCCGGAGAGCTGGTCTTCGAAGATATTCTGCTGCAGACAGAGTTTCGTTGTCGTCGCATATTTTTCACAGCGTCAATATTGATTACATTTTCAATATTTATACTTTTGCTATCAATTTCATTGTTGATTGTAGCATTTTTATTTGTTACTGTTTTCAAACCCTCGGCACTCCGACTCCGCGTTGCTGTGTTATTATCTTTCACGGTATTGCCACTTGTACCATTGCAAGTGATGATGTTGTCTACATTGTAAGTTTGTAGGCTGTCGTAGTTGTTGGTGTTATTGTCGGTGATGATTACACCAAAATCGGTTGACGAAGCACAACTGTCAGCTGACGACGATGTTGCGGGCGTTATAATTACCGAGTCTCTAGCTGATGTGGCACTGAAATCACTTTGACTTGCTGTTATCGGCTTCGTAAACATGCACTCGGCGCTTATATTCCCATTCGTACTTGAGTTCATTTCATTATCATTCTTTAGATGCATTTTCCTTCGTTGAGAAATGCGTTGTTAATACTTTATTTAAGATTACTGAAATATATACACTCAGATACTAAGGCACTTTTGTTTTTTATTGCATTACATATTCGCAACAGCTGTCGGTTATCGCTAACGATATGTACTAGTATATATTTGTGCTTTGCTGCTATATATCCGACGGCATTTCGTAACTGTCAAGTGGTTCATAGGGCCTGTAAGAGAAAAGAGAGCGGGAGAGTGATAATAATTTTATTAAAATAAGTATAAAGACAACAGAAAGAAAAACCTTCCTCAGAATTAGGCAAAACATTGCTGTCCTGAGATGTTTCTTAAAAAATTTAAGGAAGAGTACTTTTTTACTTTAACCCTCAAACGACCAGGGCCTGCGTCCTGGTTCGACCAAAATCAAAATTATAGAAAGTTAATTATTCTAATTGCGGTTGTCCCACGGTAAAGTATATGCTTAAACTAGCTTTTAACAGAGTAGTTGACTTAAGATGGTTGAACGAGATCACGTGTAACGTGACCAAACTGCTATGGGCGAAGCTGGACGCGATAAAGCGACGGGCATAATAACTGGACACAGTATAAAGGGGCTTCACGGAAGATTTAATTTTTGCCGCAGCTGCAGGGATGAAGAAAAGGAGGAGGCCATCGAGCCTCAGTGCGTATTGAAAATCTCGCCGCCTTTATAAGGCACACGAAATGGTTCGATCACCTCGGAAGACGAAGGCAGGAGCCTTAGCGGCCTAAGTGTGCCAGTAGCAACAGCCGCGTCAACTCAACCCAATTCAACTCACTTGCGGTTGTCCCACAGCAGGGGATATTAAGCTCTTCTTGTGTATTTCTTACATGAAATAAAAGCTCTTCACAAGAATCTATCGCAAGTACGGAGATGCTCAGAATATATTGTAAGTCCCTCAACGCCTCTTTTTCGAAAGGTTCCTCAGAAATGACGTCCCATTGACGGAGTTATGAATTGAGGAAGAAATTTTATTTTTTTATACTTATGAGTGTATGTATACCAAAATAAATTTTTAAGAATGGATCTCTTTCTTCGTATAATCTATCGCACGTTCGGAGGGGCTCAGAATAAATTGTAGGTCCCTCCATTTGTTGGAAAACATCAAGATGCTTCAGTGATTACAAAGTGCCCATTAGAAACTGACGCTCCGTCAGAATTAGGAAGGGACTCTCCGTGACGCTGGATACTAAACAAGGCTTCGGACAAGATCGTGTTACCTTTTCAACTTAATTCTGGAAAAATAAAATGAGCTGCAGTGCCAAACAGAGAGGGTACAATCTTCTCTTCGAGACAGGAGCTGTTGGCATATTCATAAGTACAACAGTCAATCAAAATGATCGGTAATGATTTCCACAACATTGTATTAAGATTGAATTCTTCAGTTTCCTTTTCTATTGTGTATGTACGTATGTATGTATATCTCGTTACCTAATCTTAAGCATAAAGAAAAAAAAACTAAAAACAACCAGGAGAGTTGAGCTTTCGAAATGTTCCTTGACTTTTGATGGGCAAATCATCTCAAACCACACGTTTTGCCGACAACAAACACATACAATATGTATGTTAATAAAAATGTAATTCGTGCTAAGCTTCCTGAATATATATATATATCACATATGTACGCACATTAACATAATACAAAATATATGTATATATTTGTAAGATTACATCAGCGAGTGTAAATACATACATATGTAACTGAGATACGAAATTCATCTGACTTAAAATATTTTCTATGAACAGAAATATATTTAATTATAATCAATATTTAAATATCATACATATACATACATATGTAATTACCATTAAAGCTATTGTACACCGCAATCACTCATTAGCATAGCGAAAAATGTCGATTTTTAATGGACAAATTGTGTATGTCGAGAACGATTGATTTCTTTTTTTTTCAGAAAAAGAAAATATGTAAGGTTGTGCCCAAATTCTTCGTGGAATCTTTTGTATTTTGAAAAAATTGTTTGAGTTTGTTCCCAAATCGTGATTAGTAAATTAATCGTGATAAGAAAAATAGTATATACCCAAGGCCATGTAAAGAGTTTTCCAAAAAAAAAAGTGTTATTTTTGATAGCCTCATATTGCGATAGCAGTCACTTTTAGAGCTGTAATTTTCCGACATTTGACAAGTTGAAACTACGCCCGGAATAAAAATGGAGCGAGACACGCTCCAACAAAGCATTGAAATTATTAAAATTCACCTTGAAAATGGTGAAAACTTGGCAAAGACGGTTCGTAAAACATTTTTCGGTCGTCGTGAAGTACATTGCCGGATCGCAATACCGAAATTGGTGAAACAAATTGAGCTGTTGGGACAAGTTGGTGATGTGAATAATAAAACTCGTGCACGTCGCTCAAGAACATCTGGGAATATTGCTGCTGTAGATCAAAGTGGTGAAGAAAATCCAGGGTTGTCCATTCCTCGTCGTTCTCTAGAATTGGGCATTTCACGAATTTCACATAAATAATCATAAAGTTCAGTTAACACAAGGACTCAAGCCGACCGATCGTCAACAACGGATTTTCTTTGTTGACTGGATTCTAAAAATATACGAAGATGAGGCGGACTTTCATTGAAAATTGTTTTGGCTGATGAGATCCATTTCCATCTCGATGGCTATGTCATTAAGCGGAATTGTCAAAAATAATAATCAAAAATATCAGGGCTCGGAAAATTCAAGGTTTGTTGTTGAAAATTTTCCTTCAACTTCTTCAACGTGTAACTGTTCGGGTGGTCCGGTGGGGTCATTGGTGCTTGATTTTTCGAAAATAAGCCTGGAGGAACAATTACGGAGAATGGATTGCGCTATCCAGAGATCATCAATGATTTTTCGTGGTTGGCTTTGGCTGGCATTTATCTGGACAACGTTTACTTTCAACAACGCATCCCCCACAAGCAACGAAATCACCCACCTTGCGATTTCTCTTTCTTCTTTGAAAGAACAGGCCTACGTCAACAGGCCATCGTCCATTCAAGATCTCGTTAATTCAAGATCAAGAGCTATTGAGAGCATATAACAGCCATTTTGGGATTTGGTGATGGAAAATTTCTGAAAAATAAAATTGCCATGTAAGTGTGGTCGCGGCGGCCATTTGGCTGATATTGTTTTCCAATTTAAATGTCACATTTTCCTCTTTACATTTAAATAAACATAAGATCTTTTTTCTCAAAAATGCCATTTTTCTTTGAATATCAAAATAATATCTCTTATTGGAGAACCCTGTACTCTATGTATTTCCCGGTATCTGGTTGATGTCCGCGTTCTCTAGAAAATTTTCGTAGGAAGTTTTTGTAAAACTTTTATTCCCTAGACTAAAAGAATATACCTAATTTTAGCATTACATATCAGACTATTCATAAGAAAGGTTCAATAAATATTTTCTATCCTTATGGCAAGTTCTTCAGCTCTTTTTCCACTATGAAAAACGTATTCGAAAAGCTGATACCCAAATGCATGTGGTCTGACCTACAAAAAAAAAAAAAAAATTACGAAACATGAAGAAGTGCGGTCATGTCAGTACTTAAGCCGAGTGGTTGATGGTAAAATGGAATTTTTGAACAGAATTCGATGACTAAGTGGAATCCATAATACGGTGCCTTATCGTGGTACATATAACAGCAATAATTTTCGCGGCACTGTGAGCAGTCTATACTTGATTATGAAATAAGGCTTATAAGCTGTAATTTTTCGATACGTTTGGTCCTCAGTAGAGTAAAGTCGTTCTGATGACGCTACCACACCAAAATCTCAAGAACAAAAAGTATCACCAGAAATTATTATTTTTAATATGCCTCGGTTTTTGATCTTTTAACTGTTGTAAGCACCATAAAATCAGTTCACACAGACCACAGACCACTTCTTTGCAGATGCATTGAGCTGTGGTTTAATCTCGTAAAAATTTTCGTAGGAGAAAATATCGCTAAAGAAGAAAACACTAAAATTTATTTTGATAAATATAATATTATTAATACATAATTGACGTTTTGTAACTTCTGAAACAATTTTTTATTTACAAATCGACGAGCTTCCAGTGGCATTTTATAAGGAACTTTTATTTCTTATCAGAAATACAATCCGAGAGGTTGCACTCTCTGCCGAAGAGGGCCACAGTTAGAAAAATTATTTTTCTACAATTTTGAATGTTGGTTCAAACAGAATACGAACCATCTGCATAGTAGCTCGCACCGCTCATCTTTCGGTTAACGCGGTGCCTCGTTACCGCTACAATATATTTTCTTTGAGAAAGTACTTTGGTGAAATAAATTTGCAGTTTTTGGCAGTTAGAAAATTATCTTTGAAATTACAAATAGTTATTATACTTTTCATGTACTTGTATGTATATGAAATGTCATATTAACTTTGGTCCGAAGTAGGCAAGCACCAGAAGACGAAATTTTAATACCGATATGATCAGAATGGCGAGCTGAATTGACGTAGTTATGCGCGTATTTTTACATTTGAAGGTCGCATCACTATCACTTCGAGGTATAATTCAAGAGAAATAGAACGAAGATTTTTTTCCTTCAATCACAACTATTAAAATCAAATATGTTAGTAGAGCAAATTTTACTTTATTGTTGTATTTTTTTTAAACTGCAAAAAATCTAATTTTCACTTTTTTCAATATTTTTTTATTTTCACTTCGGATAATCCTATCACGAGTTTTACTGTTAATGTAGATGCCTCTTTTTCGAAAGGCTCATCGGATATGACGTCCCATTGATGGAGTTATGAATAGTTACCTTCAAAAATTTTAGAGACTCTTTTTGAAATACATACATATGTACATACATATATATATATATATATTTATATACATATTTAGAACAATAAAAAATTTGAAGAAGAAATTTTATTTTTTTATACTTCTGAGTGTATGTATATCAAAATAATTTGTTGAGAATAAATCTTTTTCCTCGAATAATGCCATGTAACTCTTTAAATTTTGGGCCGTCTCGAGCTTTTTCAATACCAGCAGCCGATGTAAAGAAACATGGGTGCAAATCCCTACATCCAGTATGACAAAAGCTTTCCAACAATACGCCTACCCCATGCACTCAGGCAATGGGGTAATCCAAAACTGACCACAATCCAATTAGCATTGCGATGTTTAACAACTGGACCATTTTCACTGTCTCCTCATAGCTTGAAACAAAATTGACTTAATTTTAAT